GTATAATTCTTTTTCACTTATGAGGAACAGAGGAGATAGGTAGCTTACTCTACATCATATAGCTAAGTGTCTGCCTGACTCCAAAGTCCAGATTCCTGAGTTCAGCTGATTATCAGAATAATAGGAAGGTTGATGGATTTTCATGTTTGGGACAGGAGACAACTTGGGTATTCTAGGTAGGCCATTAGAAAGCTGACAATTCATAGACACTTCAATAGTTTATGGGGGTAATATGCAGCAAATTGAAATCACGAATGTTTTAGATTCAGAGATAGTGTGTTAGCTACATGCCTGTCATCTGAACCTTTGAAGTTGTTGGGTTCAGAAAAGGAAGCCTAAAGTAGGAATAGTATCCGTATTTTTCAGGTAACAAAACAGGCTTGGCAAGATTGTCTTTTGCCCAAGATGAGAGAGTTGAGTAACCAACAGAGTAGATTTGTTTCATTGGAGTCCATGGTCTTAATCACTATACCATAATGACTCCTAACAAGGAGCTTTGAAGGGTGGGAGGAAAGTGGTTTGATGGTATACTGGATGGGAAATTATTCCAGGTTTGAAAACTGGCAAAGAAAAAGATACCAAACCCTGTCTAAAGCTTTCTGTGAGACCTTGTTATTAAGGTGTTTTCCTAGGTGATTGAATTAACTTGGGGTGGCCCATTAGACTATAGGATCTGGAAATCCTATTAGAATTTTCTTTGATTAAGTAGTTGGGCTGTAGTATTACCTGAAAATTGTTTTTATAATATAAACACCAATGAAGTCCTATGTTAAAGAAAATTTACCCATAATTACCCCCCCCCCCAAAATAAAGGTATCTTCTTTTGTTCGTGCTCTGATGTATCTAGTCTATGGGTTTAAGCTTATGCAGTGATGTTGGTGTGATGCCTGGGAGTTGTTTAAGGTCTGGCTTTTCTCACCTAACACTGTATTATAAAGATTGCCCTATGCAGCTATATGCAGTCTTTACAGTCCTCGTTTTTTATGACTATATTATTTCATTCAGCACTTGGTCCATCGTTTAGCTGGCCACCTATTTGGGGGCATTTGGTTTGTTTGTAATTTTTCAATATTATAAGTGATAGTATTATAAACACCTTTTTGCATGTAGTTATTTTTACTTCTCTAGGGTCACTTCTTTAGGATAAATCCCCAGAAATGGAATGCTTCTCAAGTTTAATAATACGAGACTTTGATGTAGAAAACTAATATATGCTCTGAGTATGCGAGAAAATAATAGATTATTCCTGCTTTTGTTATGTAAAATGATAATGGTTATTTATATTTGCCAAATTGAAGCAAGTTATATGAAGTTTATTTTATTAGAAACTGGCCTTGGACCTCTTTGTATGTTTCCTTTTTGAAACAGAGAACTTAAGTTACTTTTTATTTCTTTTGCTTTGGTTAGAGACCTGCAGTGTTCCCGGAAACAGCTTCTCACACCCTTTTGCAGGTGACTCTCTCCAGCCCTGCTGTGCATCCTCTGCTCAGCAAGAGAACCTAGTGATTTTACTTTGATAAGATTGAAGTCTTGAGATTCAGCATCAGTACTCCACCTCAAAACTAACACTTTTTGCATTTTTGAGAAAGCTATTTTGATTTGATTTACTATAGTGCCTGGTTAGCAAAGGTCTTTTCCATTTTGTTCCAGGGGGAGCTGGATTTTTTTCCGTGTCTGGTTTATTATTAAAAACCACAGTGTGGTGAATGTCAATTAAGGAATGTCCTCAAAGGTTTCCAGGCACATGACCCTTGCTTCTGAACATCTATTGAGATACACACATACATATATATATATATATATATATATGTATATATACACACACACACACACACACACACACACACACAGACTTCCAATGATGTTTTTACAATGTATCGATTTAAAATCTTATTATCTGGCCTAAGTTTATATGACATAAAATACTGATTGTATGGAAAAAACAGGTTGGGGATCAGGTTTATTTTTCATATTTTCCTGAAAAGGCACCATAAAAGGGTTTAATTTAAAGCAATTAGAGCAAGGGAGGCCCATACCTTTAAAGGATTAAAGTTGAGTACACTGGTTGTCTAGATGAAATGTTATATTTTTTTCTTCTTTTCCCTTTTCCTTCATTTTGTTTAGAGCAGCAGGACTATTGGCAAATAAATCTTAGGTAAAATGTGAATTTTTCATTGTACAAAGTATATTGACACCTTTCTGGGTGATCACTTTTTAAAAATGTACATTGGTCTAGCACATGGAGTTTATGAATACTAGATACTGTTGTCTTATTCCTCAGTTATATCTGCACATTTCATTTCGTTCGTTCTTTTTTGTTTGCTGTCCTTTGGAGGCTGAAAATGTTCAAGTTTGTACAGATCTTTGGAGTTGATTTTCTTGGATTTATTTGCTTCAACTAAACAATAGTTACGTGTCACAACTCCCAAAACACTGGGAATTTGTATTGCAAATATTCTTTGAGCTTGCAGTTTTGGGGAAGCAGTCATGAAAATCATACATTTTCTGTTTATTGATAAATATTGGTCTTATTGAGGAAAACATTTAAAAACTATCCACACATACCCTTCAATTCATGAACACTCAGTGTCCTTAAGCTGACTGAGTACTTGTTTATGTGGGTGGGGATCAAAGAGGTTGTGGTGCCCTTGAAGGGGAGATTGGGATGAGGAGGGACAGGGTTAGAGTTGCATTCTGAAAGAGAGTGGGAAGAAGAGTAGCAGCTGACTAGTTACCTCATGGAAGACAAAAATAATTCACTAGTCAGTAGTATGCCTTTGTCTAAATTGGAAGCACCGGGGCTCGGACTGGTGGCAAGTAGGCCTGGGGCCTGGATCAGGCTGCTGGGAGAGGGAGTGGCTACAGAGGGTCAGGGTGTCTATTGACAGTGGAATTTTCAGATCCTCCCAACCCTCTCCTATTCAGTCTCATAATCCAAGGCTGAGCCCTAAACCCTGCCAGTGAAGAGGAACTGCTGTTAGGAGATTCAGTGGAACTAATTACATTCTCCTCTCAATACTCCGGACTAAGCAGTGTCATAAAGGGCTTCAGGGGACTCTTTTCCCACCAGGTTTGCTGCCTGGTAGTTTTATCTGAGCTCACAAGCCCTCTTACTTGCATTGATGGTAGTGGTTTGCTGGAAAGGCAAACTGATTTCTGCAGTAGGAGAAAGTCCCAGCCTGGATGGCATTCATAGATTAAGGTGAAGGCAGCCGCACCCTGTGCTCTTGGCAGCCATCGTTGAACATGTTGAAATGCAGTGTATAAGTCAGTATCTAGATTAATGTTGAGTGAAAAATGGAGAGGAGCACTTAATTTTGAAACGGAGATGAATAGTTCCCTGAGCCTCTGAGTACGGGACCAGGAATGCCACTTGCAAGGACGAGGCGTGCAGTTCCTTAAAGCACTGCTGAGATTACGGCAAGGGCTGCTTGCGGGTCAAGCATGTCAGCTCCGAAGGAACTGGTGGGCTCCTAAGTTTTAGACATATTTACCTAGCTCATCTGTGTCCTGTGTTTTCGTATGTCATGATTGGTGGGAGGGGTATAACTATTTTCTGAAACTGGGGCTTAAGGGAGCATGCTTCTGCCCTCCTGGCCTCTAAACCCTGGGGAGTTGGGGCCCAACTGGGGTGGGTGTAAGCATGGCTGAATCGTGCTGAGGGAGCTGTCCCAGTTCAGCAGGGCCAGGAGCCCAGTGGGGATGACCCTGTGCTGGGCAGTACTGTTTCCTAAACAAAGGCTGCCTGCTCCCCTCCCCCTGCTCAAACCTCGTTGTCTTGAGAAAAAGACTGGCATTGGCCTTGTTTTTACACTTTGCCAACTCTTGAAATCCTTTCATTCATAAATGACTAGGCAAATACCCCTCTTCCAGCAAGCCCATCGGGATGACTCCCCATCCCACTGGAATTATACAATGCGAAATAGTGAAGCCCATTTATTTCATCCTACTGTGTAATACAGTTAGTTGATCCCGTCTCCTCCGTTCAAGCCAAAGACAAGGGATGGAGACCTAGTTTTGTGTCTCCCTCACTGTTTTCCCACAGAGTTTGGCATAATAAGCAGATACACACATTAAAATTAGACTTTATTTAGCACATTTAAGAAGAATATACCAAGGACAGATTAACAGCACCTATTTAAGAAACACAAACATTACTTAATAATATTTAGTTAAACCACAAACATCAATCTCTCTGCATTCCCCAAGCAGGAGTCCGTTATTTCTGTCCAGCAAAAAAAAAAAAAAGGCAGAATTATTTTAGAAAGGATCCAATTAAAGCCAATCAATACACAAAACCTTGTCTTGGGCAGAGTCTCCAAGACTTCTGGCCCTTGTGACAATTTTGGTTTATGAATTTGATTGGGGTGTGAATGACTTTCTGTTCTTGCTGGGGGAGGAGGATAAAGCCCCACCCCTCTTGTGCACCTGAAGGTAAGTTGTGCCAATGGGAACTTGGCCCCAGGATTGTCATTTGGCAATCCTTTCAAAAGGCACTTTTAAATTACAAATGCATTCTTAAAAGGAAAAGGAAAATTTGAAATTTGAAATTTAAAATATTAAACCGTTTATTGACTGAATGCATTTTTCTATTTTCAGTCTCAAGGCAGCACATAAATTTGGTATTAAAGGCAATTTTAGAAATTATTCATAAGGGTTTATATATAACATCTATAGATTCAATATTTTTATTCTTGAAATACAATGCACTTATCTTATAGTTCTCTTTTTTTCTTGTCTGATGCAAATGCCCTTGATATAGGATTGTAATTGTCAAACACCTTAGCTGTGACCCCCAGAGGGGTCCCACTATCCCTTTATCTATTTATCCATCCGTGCTCTATCTTATCTTTTGGGCAACCAGTCAAAGAGAAAAAGCAGAGCAGCGTTTTTCTGGGTTTGGTACTGCTAGAGGAGGGCAGGGATGGGCACAATATAGATCTGCTAAGCGCAAATCCTGTCACTTCACAGTCCGATACTAGTTGGGTCTTGAGAGTACCGTATGTTTTTCACCCTGCTAATGGGACTCCAAGAGAGTATCTTGGGCTCTTTGCTATTTGAGGGGGGAAGGACTGTCTTTTTGATTTTGTATGCTATGCATTCAGTTAATGGAAAACGGGCGTACCAGTGCCCAATGTGTGGAGAACTGCCAGTGAGGACTTCAGCCAAAATGATTAGTTCACATTAATGATCAACTGTACCAGAATAAGTCATTATTCTCACCTGTCATATATTGTACCAGGGATTTAAGGAATGAAAGGCACCACTTCCCGCCATCCCACCTTGGAGCCAGCTTATACATCTTGTAGTATACACTTTGAAATAAAAATTTAAAAACAAATGTACTGTGTTCTACTTCAGAAACTAAACAAGGTGTGGGTCACACATAGAATTCTGCATGCATTTTATTACTATACATGTACGTACTACCCATTTTTGAGGTTGACATTATCTATAAACACATACAATCTACTATCTAGCACCTTATCTCCAAGAACAGTTACATTTTATATAGTTACAGCTTACATTTAGAATTATTACAGAAAGAAATACACCACTGATACTGACAAAAATACTGAACTTTTAACATTAAAGTTGTAACACAGATGTAGCAGGGGTGGGGAGTGGCAAGGTGGGGTTGTGGTGGAATCCACTCAATTTTGAAGCACCAAACTAAAGCCAATCCTGTTTTTGTCTATATTTTAGAACAAGAGAGGTCCAGTCCTGAATCCTCAGACACAGCAAACTTCTCGTGTGTGTATGAGTTAACTGCAGTCTCCCTTTGGTGTGTGTACTTTGAGATATGAGAGCTTTGGGAGGCAATGATGGGAATGTTTGACTCCTACTGGCAACCTTCATTTACCTTAAGGATTCTTATTCTACTTACTAGTGAACTTGCCAGTGACCTGGCAATCAGTGGCCAAGTTCTGTGGATTTTAGCTCTCCTCTTTCCTTCCTTTAGCCAGTCTTGTTGCTTTTAGCAGAAGACTGCTGTAGGCAAGCTGGGCATTTGCCATAGAGGAAGGGATCAATTGTAAGTAACTGGAAAGAATTGATGACAAGGGTTTCTTTTTCTTGCTGAGTTTTCGGCTATTGTCCGCTCTTTATAGCTCCTTGCTTCTGTCTCCTCCTGGATGGGCTTTGAGGGGGCCAAGAGCACCTGGCCGGCCCATAGAAAATGAGACAGACAAAGATTAGGAAGGAAAGGGTTAAAAGCCAGGACTGACCAGATTTTCTCTCCTTATCTTGGTGACTGGCTTAAAGCCAATCATTCTGAAATCTTTTGTCTGCTCTAGAAGGAAAAGACTCAGTTTAGAGAAGCCTCTCTTGGCAACATGGGGTCTGTCTTAAAGAGGAATGCAACAAAGAAGACATTTGAGGGGAAAACACTTATTTTGATTTTTTTTCTTAAAATGTGGGGGAGGGCAGTTATGAGAGAAAAAAAAACCAGTCCAGTAATTTAAATTGTTGCTCTCTGTTTTATCCCAACCACCTCTGAGGGTTTTCTCTTGGAGAGCTCCAATTACCAGATGATGCATAATTTTTCTCTTCCAAATGGTGTTATTTCAGACATTTTAAAGACCATTTTGGCAAAGTCTAATAAAGAAAGCCTAGTTTAGCCTTGTAAATGATTCTTCAGGTAGTATGAAAAAATCATTTGAAATAACTTTACCTAGCTTAATTGGCTAATTATGTATAAAATAAGGCAATGTCAGGCACCTTATAATTTTATAGGTAGAAGATTTTTTTAGTGATTTTTTTTCTGAAATAATTGGATGGTATCTAAAGGATTGAGTGTGCCCTAAAGATGTGTGGTATTGGGTGCTTTGGTAAGAAATGAGGTGCCTACCTCCTCCTAAATTAAAAATGGCACTTTCCTTACCTGTTGAATTTGAAGTAGGTATCCCATCATCTCTAAATTGGATTGGAGTTGGGAAGGAGACAGAAAAATGCCTTTCATTGCTGGTCACTCCCATTCTTCAGTCCTCTCCTTCCCTGCTTCCATGGGCCCCTGGGTCCCTGTGACTCTGTCAGCTCTGGGTTTGGAGGGGATGAGTGGGGGTGAGCCAGCACACAGAACTTCAAGCGCAAGGGTCAGCCCAGCAGGAGGAGGGGGAGTGAGGCAGGAGAAGGCAGTGGGCATGAGGGCAAGAGGTAGGGAGCCACCCAGAAGTGCAGAGGACTTCCCAGCAGCTGGCGTGCATGGTGCCTTAGAGATGATGCACCCTGGCATCATAGAAGTCATGGAAGCCTCGGGCTTGCTCCTTATTACTGCCTTCCCAAGCTTGTTGAAATTGGTGTGTTAGTCAAAGCACCTGCCACTCCTTGGCAAACTAGATACTCTATTATTTTAAATAAGGAAATCATTAAATTGGAAATCACCTCATTTCAAAGTCTGGGTTGTCTGGCCCCTGTACTCTAATGGGATTTTTACTGCACATATGAAGTAGCCTCGGCAAAAGAGTACATACTTTAAAAACATTGAGGGATAGCTATTGCAATGAGGATCTGTGAGGCTAATGACTTTTTTGTGTGCTTTTAGATTTTCAAATGACAAAACAGTTTGTGCAGTAAAAACCTCATTAAATTGGTAGTGTTTTATTCAAAATAGCACGAAATTTGAAGCAGTTGCTATCTCCAAGCTCACTAGAGGCCCTACGGTTCATTAAGAAAATGTCAGCAAAGCAGAATGCTCTTAATTCAAAGGTCCTCTTTTCCAGTCTCCTATTTTCAAAAGGTTTTCACCTTTGAAAAATCTGATTTGAGTCATTACTAAAATAGGAAAAAGAAGAACTTTAAATAAAGAGGGAATTGGTGAGTCTTGGTGTACTGGAGAATGTGTGTGGGTTGTTAAATAAACTTACCACAATCATACAGGTTCTGCTTCCATTTTGATTTGGGATTTTGGCAAACAATTTTCTCTGATACACTCTGAAGGGGTTGAGCTTTAAAAATAAAACAAAAAGTTCATTTTCAACAAAATACTTGGAGATACTTAATGTTTGAAATCCTGTTTCCTAGCCAGGTAAGCATTTCTACCCAAAGGGTAGGTAGGCTACAGCTACTTTGACCTCCTTCCACCATGACAGATCTTCAAGATAATACCCTCCCCACCCCAAGAAAATAGATAGGCCATTTCTTCACCTAGGCATCCTTTGAGGACAGGTCAATTCAAGAGTTTGGCAATACATTTGTGTAATAAATTTATGACTATTAATTCACTTTACACATTTTGGTAGAAAAATAAATGATGTTGCAAATAAGCTTCAGCCCCCATGTCTTATCTGAATTATCATAAGTTTCAAATTAATGGGGTTGCAATCAATAAGATTTTCATGTGTGTTTTGAGTTGACAGGTCAGCTCAGTATTATTTGGGTCTATCCCCACTCCCTTCTGAAATTCTGAACATGGCCATCCTAAATTCCCATGCAGACTTATTCATAGCCCAAATACACTGCTGTTTACCTCTCCCCCTGGAGAATTTCATGTTACAATCTGTGAGGAGGAAGAGATAAAGAAAATATCATTGAGCTGAGCATTTATGTGAATGAAATTTGAGTTCTAATATAGACATGGTAATCATACAAGAATGAAGCTAAACTTTGAATATGGCCATGCTTATATACAACCACCTGATTAACCATTTTTCAAACAAATAGTCCCTCCACCCATATACATTGGATTTCCGCATGAACAGTTGACTGGCCCTAGTGCTGCTTTAATGTGATTTTCAGGAGTATTAAAAACATTGTCTTGACCAGTTCTTGATTCCATATTACTTGGCTGTGTGGATATGACTGTGCCCTCAGAAACACACAGGTTTATCCCTACCTAAAATGATTTCAGGGTTTGGGATTTGAAAACTCTTTCTCGGTATTGACTCTGGGAATAATTTAGGTATTGTAAAGTTTTCCCAAAGTGATATAGTTCAATCACAGTAATTAGGATATGTCTGACCTGAAGGCTTTGATTTTAGAATTGTTTGGAATAGGTCAGATGCTTGCCAGATATTGAGAAACCATCCTGTCTGTTATTTCTGACTCTCATATTTCTCTCCCACATCTGTAGAGAGCTTAAAGGCTTTATTGAGAGCCACAGGTGAAAACGACACATGGGTGCGCCTGTGGAAGGAAAATATTTATCCTGCCTTACTTGTTTCTCCTGTGGAGATCACATTTCTTGTTGATGATCTCATGGGTGCAAAAGAGATTTCTAATGGGCACATTATTCTTGATTGGCAATCTGAGTTGTCATAGGACTTTGGCCACTTGCAGTTGAATTCTTTTGTCTGGAAATGCTGTTTGACTAAAAAGCTCTATTTGGAACACGCACACGCACACACACACGCAAGTGACTGGCAGAGGAGATTTGAAGGATTCTTGTACCCCAATTCAATCACAAAGGGAAAATTGTAAAATAGTGGCATGGTTTCTGTCCCACTATTATTTAGATAGGAGACCAAAAAACAGTTTCCTGTCAATTGACAATTTTCCATTTACATGGAATGACCTTGGTCCCAACCCATTCACCAACCCAGGGCTTTATGGAAAAACATTAACTGCTTAGCTCCACAGATGTATTATTTTTTCTATTGTCTCCCTTGGACTAGCTTCCCATTTCAAACATGCCCTATTATCCTCTTCCACTTTTCTCGATCCCTGTACTTAAAATCTGTATTTAACTGCACGATGCCTTTTGTGTTAGTTTCCATAATAGTCTTTGCACCAGATTGTGGGGCTCATCACTTTAGAATTTGGCTCATGTGTTCATCAGTCAGTCAGGCTCTGCTTCTTTGGGCTCCATGAATGATTTGGTCCATTGCTTTTCTTTCAGGTGAAAACAGGCTGTGGCCTTTGCCCCTGAGCTCTTGACCTGGGTACTTAAAAGTCCTTAAGTTCACAGGCATCATCTTCCTTTTCTCTCAAAGGGAAAGCTGACATGTTGTAGCTCAGGGAGACAGAATACCACGTACAGGTCCAAAATGGATAGCCCTTGTTGCTTTAAGAAAGTTAGAGCCTAATACATTTTGGTGGTGGTCGGGGGAGGTGGAAATTTCAGTCAGAATCCTCCAGTCTGTGCTTTGAGGGACACACTTTTAAAGGAAAGCTCTAGTTCCTACCTCTTCCACGTACCTATCTGCCTTGTGGTGAGAAGCATGTGTGCAACACCTTTGCCTAGAATGATATGGTATGGGTTAGCATTAATGGGACTGTGGGTGGTCCGTTTAAAAGAAAGCTGCTCTTGTTTACTGCATTGTGGACAGTTCAAGGTTTGCCTTAGAACTAACTTCAAGGCGAAGTGGCAGAATCATGAGAAGGGACGATCTTGCCTTCAGTTCCACCCTCTGTGCCGGCTTCGGTTCCAGGCAGGTCTGGGTGGCTGTCTTCTTTTGGGGGCTTTTCCTTGCAAAAGAACTTCTTCAGCATATCCTGGATTTCCTTCTTGATGGTCTTGTGCATGTAGCCATAGATGTAGGGGTGGATGCAGCACTGCAGGAAGAAAAGCCAGATTATTATGGTGATCACCCACTGTGGTACCTTGGTTTGGACATCCACCCACACAGCCAGGACCGCTAGAAAGCAGTAGGGCCCCAGGGATAGCACGTAGGAGAAAATGATGATGAAGATCACTTTAGCAGCTTTGCACTGGTAGCATCTGGGCAGAGGAGGGTCGCTGTTGCTGTTTCGATGACTGGGTGGGAGACTCTCAGGGATGTTCACTGCCTCAATGTCATCCTCACTGAAATTGATGTCATCCTCACCAAAGTCAATATCCTCATCACCCAAGTCAATGCTGCACTGGTTGACTTCCATGCGGCCCTTCTCTGCCTTCATGCTGCTCTCAATTCCTGTGCCCCCTTCCTTAGCCTTCATGCTGCCTTCACTGGCTGCCGCGCTGCTTTTTCTGACCTTGCTGCCCTTGGCCTCTGTGCTCCCCTTGCTGATCTCCACTCTCCCTGCCTTGCCCTTCATGCCGCTATCCTTGGCTTCCATGCTGCCCTCTTTGGCCTCCATGTTGTCTTCCTTGGCTTTGACCTCACCTTCATCCTGGCTGTGGAATGAACTCTCACCCTGGAGCTCATCCTTCTTCTCTTCTCCCTCTTCGTTCTCATTCTCCACACGGTCCTTGGCTCGAACCTCTAAGCTGTGGCTCCTGATGTTGTACAGCAGAGCATGCTGCCGCCGGGCTGCACTGAACACCACGGAGTAGCAGGCAATCATGACAACCAGTGGAATGATGATGAAGGACACCACGCTGAGAATGGTGTAGCTGGGGCTGGCCCCCCAGATCATGGAGCAGAGAGCATTGCGCTCGTCAAAGGCAGCCTGGCCCCAGCCATAGAGTGGGGGTGTGCTCTGCAGGATGGCCACAATCCAGGTGCCATAGAGAAGCATGTAACCCCGGCGTGGGGTCATCTTAGAGGGGTAGGAGAGAGGATGGATGATGGACAGGTAGCGATCCACAGACACCACAACGATGGTGTTGACACTGGCAAAGGCAAACAGGTGAGTGAGGCTAACCAGGGCGGTACAGAAGTGGCTGTTGAGAGGCCAGAAGAGAGGCATAGAGGTGGCCACCACCCAGGGGGCCACAAGAGAAATCTGCAGTAGGTCAGTGACGAGGAGGTTAAAGATGAAGCGGTTGGTCACCTGCAGCAGCTGCGGCTTGCGCTGCAACACGAGTGCCAGCACTATGTTGCCGACGAATGAGGCGGTGAGGAAGATGAGCAGCACGCTCGAGCGGATGATGCCGTGAGCCAGACTGATGGGCATTTTGGAGAGCGGCATGCACGTGTGGCTGCTGTTGCTTTCGCGCGTGTTGTTGGTGCAGGTGGACGTCATAGCGAAAGCGGGCAGGCGCAAGACCAGGTGCAGGCACGGAGTGGGCACTGGCGGACGGCGACAGGGTGCACGGACCGCACTCACTGCCTGTGATGGGGAGGAAAGAAACACACGGGCGCGGTTAGCCACTGGCCGAGGGGGGCCGCCTCCGCGCGGGGCAGTGGCGCTGCAGGCACCCTCCCCAAGCCCCGCGCGGCCCCAGCGCGCGTCCGGGGAGTTCCTCTGAATCCCTCCCTAACTCCTGGAGCTCCCTGCTTCTCGCTCTCCAGGCCTCTGGGTCCCGCGCATCTGTCTCTCCAGCCGGCGCACGCGCTCTCGCCGCGTGTGGGTCACCCTGCCTCTGGGTCCCCGAGTTGCGGTCTCTGCAGCGCTCTCTCCAGCGCGCTCTCTCGCTAGCGCATGCGCGCGCGCGCTCCACCCGGCCTCCTGACGTTTGTCATTTGTCTCTTCCTCTCCAGTGTCTCTCGCTAGCGCACTTTTTGTGTATCTCTTGGGGTGTATGAGTCTCACCGTTTTCCACGTCTCTCATCCCTCTCGGTCGCCTATTTCTCAGCTTCGCGCTACCACGTGCGCGCTGCCTGTGGGTCTCCGTCCGTCTGTCGTTCTCTTCCCTTTCCGTTACTCGCGCCTCTCCCTCCCACTCTCCGTGCGTTCTTCTGTCTCAGTCTCTCGCTAGTGTGCTTTCTCTAGCTGTGTGCGCGTTCTCTGCTCTCGGTCTTTCTCCCGGTCCTGTCCCCGCCTCTCCCTTCCCGTCTCTATCCGACGCGCTCCTGTCTCGCCGCGTCTCTGCGGGACACTGTCTATGGCGCTCACGACAACATGCTCTTCTCCGTCTTCCCCTCGGCTGTCTCGCCTCTCCAGGTCTCCCAGTCTATTTCCCTGACAATCTCTGTGGGCCCTAGGGCAGCTGTCCAGTGTCGCTCGCCCGATGTGTCTCTGGCAGTTTCCGTGTCTCTCCCACCCTTGTCTCCCTGTCTCCCTCGGGTTGTCTCTCGACGCTTCTCCTTCTGTCTCGCTGCGCTCGCTCTTTCTCGGATCCTCTCATATCGGCGCCTCTCCTGTCTCCCTCTGCGGGTTCTGTCTCCTTGTCGCTGTCTGCCGTCCCTGAACACCTACCGCTTGTCCCCCTGATTGTCTCTAGTTCACCGTTCCCAGGCTCTCTCGCCTAGCGCGTCCCCTTCAGAAAGTCGGCTCCTCTCCCTCTCTGCCGGTTTCTCTGTCCCTCTCTCCCTGGGACTCTCGCCAAACACTTTCTTTGTATGTTTCAGTGTGTGTGCACCTCTGTCCTTCTGTGTCTCCGATCAGCCCTCACCTCGGTTTTTCTCTAGCTGGGTATTTCTGTCTTTGATCTCTACCTGTCGTCTTTATTTCGCCATAGAAACCAGCTGCCGCTTTGGCCACCGCGGCTCTGGCGGGTAAACCTCATCGTTTCCCAGCAGCGCAGCCACGGCCGGAGGCAGGGAGGATGCCAGCTGCGGACCCCGGGATGGGCGGCGGGGCCGGGGCTGCATGAGCTCGGGGAGGGCGCCAGGGCAGGCAGCGGGCCGCGGAGAGCCAGAGGGAGACCGAGCGAGGGAGACGGAGAGGCAGAGAAAGGAAGAGAATGAGACAGAGACAGAACGCGAGCCACCCAGAGACAGAGAGAAAATGATAGAGTAAGAGATATAGAGACACTGAAAGAGCAAATGAGAGAGGGAGAGTGGGAGAATGACAGAGACAGATGGAGTGATGGAGCCACAACAATCGGAAAAAACTGGGATAAGAGCGGATGAGAAGCAGAGAAGGAGAGCCAGGAGGAAAGAATGCGGGACTTGGGCGGGGAGGGAGGGCGCGCGAAAGTGCGAGGGGGACGCGCGGCCTGGGGCTGACGGGGATGCTAGTAGGGGCTCTGCGCGCGCAGCGCGGCTGCCGTCGGGCCGCGGCTGACGGGGCGGCCCGAGCGCGGCGTCCAGTCGAGAGCCCGGAGCAGCGCTGGGCTGCTTACCTGTTGCTGCCAGAGGCGTCGCGCCGCGGGAGCTGCGTGCCTGTCCCTCGGGGCTCGCCGCGCTGGTCCGGGTTGCTTCTCGAGGCGCCGGATGCTGCGGGCTCAGCCCAGGTGGCGGGCGCGGCACGCGGCGGGAGCTGGGCGGCGGTGCCCGCACACGTCCGGCCGGCGCGCCTTGCAGCGAGCTCTGAGCGGCGGCGGGGGCGCGTGGCGTCTTAAGGCAGCGCGGTGCCCTCACCTTGCGGCGCCCCCCTCCCCTCAGCCCCCGCCCGCGCTGGTGACGCAGGAGGCCGCGGGCGCCTGGGGGAGCGGGGCTGGCGGGAGGGGGCCGCTGCAGCGGACCCCACTCAGATTTGCTCACTCCGTGTCCGCACCCCAGGAGGTCCAAGCTCGCTGAGACCTCACCCGCTGGGGGTTGTCACCAGGGCTGATTTTCCCGCAAACTCTGTGCCTTCCTAGCCTCTGGATTTCAGGCCAGGTCCAGACCACAGAGCTGCTCAGTTCTTCCAAACAGAAGCAGCAACATGGGCCCCAGCCTCGACCTTTGAGGGCCCCCCACCGCCACCCACAACCCCCTAAAGTATGACCCGCCCCGGGCCCTAGAGAGGAATTGTGACTTTGTGTCACCGGTGTTCTACAATTTTCTCTAGCTCCCAGCAAGAGCTAAACTGCAGTTCCTTTCCCATAATTTTTGGGAGCATTTCATTTAAGACAAGCCGCTTAACTATCCACTGTATTATTTGATTGAAGTCTGTCTGTCTGTAAATCAGCCCACCCCCACCCCTGACCAGGTACAGTGTTAAGCTGTTTACATGAAGAGTACGGCCTAATCCTTACTCTAGCCTTGTGAAATAAGTACTGCTATTATCTTCATTTTATAGAGACAGAAGCAGGGGCCAATAGAGATTGCCCTACTTGCCCAAGTTGAAGTAAATGTTGCACCTGTTCTAACAACAAAGATTTTCTGGTCTCTCCCATATAGCGGGTGTTTGCTCTGTATCACGCCTGGGCAGACACCAGGGCATAAGGTGCTCCCCTCCAAAGGGGAGGGTGGGGTTTTGAGGAGCTGTCCCAGACCAGGAGTCATTTGCATCAGGTTTCCAAGAGATGGGCAAGTGTTTCCCAGGCAGGACTGAAGATTTTTTTTTGCAGCATGTTCTGCAAGAAGATTCATTGCTAAGATAAGGCTGCAGAAGAGAGCTGGGTAACAAGAGAGGCTGCAGCAGTGTGAGGTGAGTGCCAGGAGGTGAGCTGGAAAAATGGGGTAGAGGCTGATCCTGATGGGTCTTGAATTCCAGTCTGAGGAACTTAGGACTTTATCCTGACATCCTTGGAGGACTGTTGAGAATTTGTTTTATTATGAACAATTTCACACATATTAAGTGTGATGAGAATAATAAAATAAACATCCAGGTTCCCACCATCCAACCATAACAGTGATAAATACCATGCCATTATTGTTCATTGATGGTTTTTATGCAGGGTTATGTGATGATTTCTGTTTCTCCAGGGTTTCCTAGAAGCAGGGCTGAGGTGGTGTGGGTGAGGTGTTGAATGGAGAGAGGGCAGAAAGGAGACTGTGGCAGGGGATGAAGAGGGTCTCAACCGGTCACACAGAGGGGGCTGAGCAGAGACCCACAGAGAAGCAACATTGACAGTGGAGAAGAAGAAGGGCAAGGAGGTGTTGGGAGCATCTAGAAGAAGAATAAGTCTCTGAGTTGGTTGATGGGCTGTACTGAGATGTACCCACTTTCCACTGTACCCCATGCCTTCTGGACAGGGAGGGAGACAAGGCAGGTGTGTAATCAGGCCCAGGGATGCTCTTTGGAATTCAAGTCCTACATTTGCTGTAGATCATTTGTCTTTTTTCTGGTAGGCCTGATTTTATCTTCCCAAGGTTGAATGGTATAAACCTGGCCATTTTTTCTGGAGACAGTTTCCATGATAATCGCCCACAGTTATTAATTACTAGCTTCACCCTGGCCATGGTGCAGAATCCTGGGTGGCATGCACTCCAAAGTGGAAGTTCATTCAGACCCGGTATTTTAGAATTACTTGGGAGGCAGTCAAGTTGCGAGCAGTGGCCCGAGACAAAGGCCAGTTCAGTCCATCCTGCCCTTCCCTCCTTTTCATTGTGGGTCTGAGAGTTCCCTGGGCTGCTGGAATCCAGCAGGGGACAGAGACAAAAACCCCTAGGTACATGGTGGGTGCTTCAGAGAGGCAGGCTCATGAAGCCTGCACCCTGGGCATTAAGTGGGATAAGGAGATGTGGACGAGGCTGAGTGGGATGTGACCTCTGCATCTGAGGCTGATCTGCCTGCAGGAGACAGGAAGAAATCAAGCAAGCCCTGGGAAAGAAACTTCCCTCACAGGGATATGTTTGAGGGCTGTTAATCCTCAGGTGTCTGTTTCCTCTTTTCCCCTCCAGGCATGAGCAGAGTCGGTGTCCTTGGATTTCAAAGGCACGCAAGTATCAGCATCCCAACTGGAGGTATGTGTGGGGCCTGGGGAATGTGGATTTGGCTTCGGGCCCTGCGGACTCTGATTCTGATGGCCTTGCAAGAGCCCTTCAACTGAGAAGCCTCGTTAGATTCTGGAGAGGTCCTCTGGGATGAAACAGAGAGAGTTCAGGGTGATGGCACAAGAAGTCATCGAGTCCATTTCCCGACCTTTGTAATTCTGTAGCAGTGGAGGTAAGATTGGGCTCATGATACTAATAGGGCAGGGCTGGAGGGCAAGAAGTTACTAGAAAGGGCTCTAGGTCCTGATGAGAATAGTAAGCTGCAACACTGGTCACAGCATGCCAGCTTGGTCTTCCCAGACTTTTTCACCTTGTTAGACTGTACCAACTTGTCATGGATTTACCAACTGCCAGGTGAGGGAAGTCAGAGGCCATGAGCCAGCCAGGTGTTAGTTCTAGTAACAAATGGTGGTGCAAGAGTCGTTTAGGGTTTACCATGTGCCAAGCCCTATGCTTCCTTTATCCTATTTAATCCTTGACGAAACTCTGAAAGTTAGAGACTAATACAGTATTTTTAGAATCCAAGACATCATATACCATTAAGGAAGAAGGAAACCTGCAAGTTTAACTATCATACCACTGGTAGCAAAATGCATCTTGATTTCAAAGATACTAAAATGTGGAGAAAAAAAACTCCAAAACATGTGCTTTAGAATCAATATATGATAGTACCGTCCGTGACCTTACAGAGAGGTTAATTTACTCATTCAAGGTCATACAACAAGTTAAGTGTTGGAGCTGAGAGGTAAAATCTCTTCTGTTTAACTTCAACTCAGGGGCATTTCTTAGCCTGCTTCCTGGAAGGGTCAAGAGGCAAAACAGAAGGGTTCCTGGAAACCCAGTCCAGAAAAAATTTTTGAATCCAGGTGAATTGCTAGGATTGTGGGAAGACAAATGGCTTCTTTTTGTAGGATACATGGTTCCCATTGGTGGTGAGATGACTAAATTAGTCAATCTGAATTCTAAGTCACACTCCTTCCTGCTTAGCAAGTTTGTAATAAGTCAATAAGGAAAAATATACGGTTTTGTGTTGGAGTGCCTACCCATGGGGGTATTTTAAGTTTTTCGGTGTTACGAGCTGCTCTAATATTCACTTTTGGCCAATCCTAAGGGTTGTGTTAGCAAAGTTCAAATGAAAGTAAGTACCATTTGGGTGTGAGCTAATATTGCCCACTCTGTGGGTATGGACAGGACAGAAGGTCTGGATTTCAAAGCTATGTCTACCCAAATAAAATGGTTTGGGAGAAAAAAATCAGCAGAAAATAAGTGGCTGGATTAAAAACGAGGAGTAGGAGACCTGGTTTCTAGGCCTAATTCTGTGGCTAACTTGCTGTTTGAGTTTGGGAAGAGCCACACCCCTCTCTGATCTTGGTTCTATTAATCCTCCAAGTGAGGTGGGGGAGTGTTAGGTAATCTGTAAGAATACCATCAGTTTATGATTTTTTAGTCCATCTATTTTCTATCTGGGTGTTATTAAAAATCCTCCAAATGAATCCAACCCAAATATTTAAAAACTGAAAGCTGGACTTCTGCTTCTCGCCATGAAAGAGTAACAGGGATTGGATTTACTCTTCCACCTTAAACAACTAAAACAGTGGACAAAATGTATGAAATAATGGTTGTTGCACATTGGAAAACAGGAAGTACAGGACAGTTATCCTCAAAAAAAGAGAAACAAATGGAGTGAGCCCTGCAATTACCCCAGTGTACTGCCTAGGGAGAGTTTTCAGGATGGGAACCCAGGCAGAGCCTTAAAGCCTATGTAAATTGAGATACAGAGTTCAGAATTCAGGGGAAGGTGAGGGTGTCTAGAATTTTTAAGGTAATGTCCCAGAGAGGAGCTTCCCAGAGAGTGTTCCAGAGTTTTGTAAAAGGTACCCCTCAAATCTTTGACTGAATTCTGATCAGCATGTGCATGTGAGGAAACTAACCATGGCTGGGGAAAGAATGAATCAAAAAGAGTAGGTGGGGTGATTTCTAGAGCTCACACAGCGTTGGGAATAGTTCAGTTTCCCAATATCCAGAGAGAAGAAACTTTATAATATACCCCTATAAATTGTGGGATATATCATCAGTGTGAGTGCTCAGAAGATTGCCTTAGTAGCAGAGCCATAAACCTTAGTCCAAAGTTTGTTCTGGTCCCACCATAACAAAGCAAGCACAAGTTTTGAAAGGATCAAACTGTTCCCAAGTATCTTTACTGCAACTCAGAGGAAGGCTCAAAAATATTTAAGGGAGTACAAAAATATCTAGCACCCAATGAGGTAAAATTTGCAAAGTCTGAAATCCAGTAAAATGTTACGAGGAATGCAAAACAGGAAAATATGACCCATAATGAGAAGAAGAAAAATCCTTAAATAGGAACAGATGGAGATGATAGAATTGGTAGACAAAGACATAGAAACGGCATTTTTAAAAGTACACTTCATATGTTCAAGGTGAAGGGAAGCATGGGCATGTTGTGGGGAGACAGAAGGTAGAAAACAGAGTCAAATCTTCAAGACATAAAGAATATAATGTCTGAGATAAAAATATAATGGGTGATGTTATTAGCGTGTTAGACCCTGCAGAAGAAAAATTTGGTGAACTTGAAGATGTAGCAATAGAAACCATCCAGAATGAAATAGAAAAAGGAGAAAAAAATGAGCAGAGCAACAGTGAGCTGTGGGACAACTTCAAGTGGCCTAATATAGGTGTAAATTAGAGTCCCAAAAGGAGTGAGGGAGACAGAA